GAAATAGATCAAGTGCATGAACATGATTTCTGTAATAATCCAAATGTAACGGTAATTTAAAAAAGGATGAAAATAGCGTTGAAAAATATATAAAATATTCAGAAATGGTTTGTGAAAGGATAGGCCATCCTACTGTGTGCAGTAGTAATGATACTGAATGTAAAAGCATGCTGCGTATTTTACGCAATGCATCTGTTCATTATCCTTTGTTGAGACGCCTTTTGAAACACTTTTATGTTGCTAGAAATGCTCATTTAACAATAGATATTATTGATTCTTCCCTTGCTGATGGTGATATAGCACAATTGATAGATTTAAAAATTAATGAAGCTGATGAGACTGAATATGACAATGTGTATTATGCTATAAATGGTGAAGAAGATGACCCATTTAGAATACCAAACTTAGATACTGTACTTTATTTTCAGTATTCAGATGCTATTGACGAGTTTAAGAAAGCTTTGTCTGATCAGGCTATTAATGCTTGTTGCAGCTGTGAGAGGCTTTTAAGAAAAAAGTCTGTCACTGAAGCTAAAAATTTAGATAGCGATGTTTGGAATATCCTATTAGATTACATTAGAGAAAATGATCCTACGGCATTAAATAAAGTTATGTATATTTGTAATCATTGTAAACCTATTATTAGGAAAAATGAAGTTCCAGCACGTTGTGTACTCAATGGGTTAAAGTGTGAGCCACTACCCAAAGAATTGGAAAATTTGGATCCTTTAAGTGGCCAGTTAATACAGAGGGCCAAGTGTTTTCAGACAATTGTTAGGCTAGGCACACACACCTTAAAAGTGCCTACCTATAATTTTTTGAAGGCCCTTAAAGGTGCCATGTTTTATTTACCTCTTCCATTAGAAAAAACAATGGAAACTTTAAATGAGATTGGTATAGATTCTAATCATTTGCCTAATCCAGAACTTTATATTATTATTAATGGACAGCCTACTAAATCAAATAATGTCTGGCATAGTTTAGTTGATGTGAATAAAATAAAAGCGGCACTAAGAAAATTAAAAGAAATAAATTGGCTTTATAGAAACGTAGATGATAATTCAATTGACGAATCGTCTAAAAATGTTATACAAGTAGTTAGCAATACTACTTGTAAAATGCTTGAAAAAGCAAATGATCAAGATTTAGAAGGCCTTTCGGCATATACGATTAGAAATTTTGATAGTAAAATTGCAACAGGTTCTGATGTCAGTCAATATAAACTAATGAATGTAAAAGAAGCGCCTATAGACAATAGGCAAGAGCATCTTGATTTGTTATGCTTTCCTACTTTATTTCCTACTGGACAATATGGAGAGCATCATCCCAGACAAAGCTATCCAGCACAGATTATCATTTAGTGAATACATAAAATCTAGACTTTTAAACAAAGATTCCTGATTTCGTAGAAATCATTCATATTGTCTGCACTATTATGGATTAAAAATTAACAAGGCCTTAAAAACTGGCATATATAATTTATTAAAAACATCAAGGGGCAACGTTGGTCAAACTGTTGCTGAAATATTAGAAAAAATAAATGTGTTAGATGAAGAATTTGAGGGCAATTTAAGTACCATGTTGGCTCCAATACAGGGCACAAATCAATATTGGTTCCGTGTGAAAGGTGAAGTCAAAGCAATGATTGCTGAGTATGGCTCACCAACACTTTTCCTAACATTAAGTTGTGCCGAATATGATTCAGCTGATATAGCGCAATATTTAAGAAAAGTGAATAATGCGCCACAATCATATAGTATTTCTAGATTATGTACTGAGGACCCTGTTTCAGTATTGCGACAATTTTCATACAAATTTAAGGATTTCTTTAACATAGTCATTCTCCAGAGAGGTGTTCTAGGCAAAGTAGAACAATATTATGTTAAAAAAGAATATCAAATGCGTGGAGCACCTCATTATCACATCCTCCTATGGCTTAAAAATGCTCCTGTTGTCGGTATTGATCGTCCAGAAGAAGTCTGTTCTTTCATACAAGATAGAATTACCAGTCATATACCAGATAGTAATACGTCGCCTGATTTAAATTTTTTGGTAACAAAATACCAAATGCACAAGTGCAGCAAATACTGCAAGCGAAATATTAAAGTTGGCAAGACCTATGTATCTAGATGCCGATTTGATTTTCCTAGACCAGTAAAAGATAGTATTTGCATCAATGATGTTGAAAATAGCTTGAAATCATGCAATAAAATATATTATCTCAAATGAAATGAAAAAGAAGTTCGAGTCAACGACTATAATCCTTTACTGCTGAAATTGTGGCGTGCAAATATGGACTTGCAATACATAGCTGAGAGGAGTCTTTCGTTAACAGAGTATGTAACTGGATATGTCACTAAAGCAGAAAAGAGTCATGCACAGGACTTATGGGATGAAGTCAGCAGCTGTGAAACATATACAGCAGGCTTTGGAAAATCGGCCAAAAATTACTTCGAGCTAAAGAAGTAGGACTATATGAAGCTAGCGATCTCCTTCTTGGTGAAAGTTTATATATGAAATCAGTAACTGTACAGTACGTTAATGTGTACTTGCCTCATAAGAGGAGCAGAAAAATCAAAAACTATTCATATTTAACTAAAATGGATCGATCTTCGAAAGACATCTTTAATCCTAGCATAATTGAAGACTTTTATCCAACAAGACCAAATAACATGGAAGATGTATCTCTTTATGAATTTGTTGCTAATTACAAATTTGATAAAATAGAAGAAAATGGAGAAAGAGAATACAAACTTCGATCAAAGCCAGTCCTTCCAAACCATAGGAAATTTAATTCTATGCAAGAAACGGAAAGAGACGATTTTTATTACTCGCTAATATTTTTATTTGTGCCTTTTAGAGACGAGAGCACACTTGTAATAGAAGGAGAAACAATGGAAGAAGCTTTTAGGCGTCACAGAGAAGCATCTATACGTGGCATTGAAAATCATTTCAACAAACTACAGAAATTATTAGAAGCTGAACGTAATTCGAAGAAAATAGTCGATGCAAGAAATAAAGCCGGTTTCACTGAAGAAGAACTTCCTGATAACAAGGAAGATGATGAGCCTCAATTACTGGGTGAAATAATGGAAGCAGTAGCTGATATTGCTGACATGCATATAAATGTACCTAATTTAACATTAGAGCAAAGAGAGGCAATGCTTAATCTAGATCAAAAAAGAATTTTTGATAAAATTAAGAGTCATCTTATAAGTCAAAAAGAACGTGAAGATTTATTAGAGAATGAGTCTTCAAGACTACTTAGATTAGATAATATCAAACCGCTAAGGATGTTTATTAGTGGTGTAGGTGGAACTGGTAAATCGTTTTTGATAGAGGCAATAAAATGCCTAGTGGATGACATATGGCATCCAAAAAGTGGTGAAATCATGTGTGCTATAGTAGCACCAACAGGTATAGCCGCATTTAATGTAGGTGGACTAACAATACATAGGTTATTTCAGCTACCAATAGAGCATGAGGGAAAGACAGCTGGATATTGGGCTTTGAGTAAAGAAGCTCAGAAAAGAATAAAAATGACACTTAAAAATTTAAAAATTATAATAGTAGAC